TTTTCAAAATCCAAAATATTGCCAAACAGGCGCTTTTGCATTTCGTTTCGAAACTAAATCATCCGCCATCGTCTTTCTTGTCTGTCTCACCGCACTCTTCTTGTCAGTCAGCTCGACTCATTCTCCTCACTGGAGAAATTAAATCTGATCTGTGATGCGACTGTCGTTCGGCACACTGCATTGAGCAGCCGCGTTCAGTTTTTAATTGTAGTGTCTGTTCTTTTACTGAACTAAAAGATTTTTATTTCTATAAAAAAATCAAAACGACGGTGGGGGTCGGTGACGCGGTGGGCAAGTGACGTAACCGGTGTTGCGGCTTAACACCGGTATCACCGTCGCGGCAAGCCTAGTTCACTTTACATTAAGGTTCACTTTCATAGGTTATTAACGTTTATAACTCATTAATAACTGGTTCACAGATATTCACTTTACATTAAGGTTCACTTTCACAAGTTATTAACGTTTATAAATGATTAATAAATGGCTCATTACATTAAGGTTCACAGGTAATATTGGAATTAAAATGTTCAATATTAGCATCTCAAGTCATGGGTGTGCTTTTATTATTTTTTCCCCAAAATAAAATAATAATTTCATCTTGATAAACAAAATATATCAGTTTCTAATCATTGCTGTGGATAGGCATCATTTTGCACTTTTGCGGAGAATCATGGGTAAGGTACAGAGTAGATTCTGGTAAGAAACATTGTAAGAAAAGTGACACGAGTCATGAGATATAAATGAGAAAACCATAAATGCAACACCCTTCAGTCTTGCTATAATAATACATTTTTGCTGCATCATGAAATAAATCAGGAATCTGGTTTTGAGTGAAATAAGTATTTATAAATATGTGTTAAGCATTTATAACGTGAGTTAAAAATGGCTCACTATTTGGCAGGTATTACATTAAAATCACCCTTTTACTCATGCATTTATAACTGCTTATCAATGATTTATAATGCATTTGTAAGTGAGTTATTAGTCATTTATAAACACCTTTATAAACCCTTTACAAAGGGAACCTTAATTTAAAGTGTTACCAGATAATCTTAATCTCTGCATCACTGTTTGTGCAACACTTTTGGACAATTGTCTGTTTTCTGTCTCAAGATGCCAAAAATGGATCCAGCATATGTAAGGATCGTGTTCGTATAGTGTGCAGCAGTCGGGTTCTGCAAGTAAACATGAGTTATTAGTCATTTATTAACACCTTTATAAACCCTGTATAA